ATTAAGATTGAAAGCAAAAAAAGAAGGTAAATAATAGTTGTTTGATAATGGAAATAATGCTTAATTTTATGATTATTTTATTGAATGTGTAAAAAAGAAACTTCATGTTGTTATGGCAATGAGTCCTATTGGTGATACTTTAAGATCTAGAATTCGTATGTTTCCTAGTATTGTAAATTGTACAACAATTGATTGTTTCCATTAATGGCCTGAAGATGCTTTAGAAGCTGTAGCTAGAAAATTCTTAGAGGATATATAAATAAAGGATAGTTAATAAAGATTATTAGTAGCATAATGCAAATATATGCATTCATCATTATAAACTATTAGTGAATAATTTAAATCACAAGAAGGAAGATATAATTATGTTACTCCTAGTAGTTATTTTGAGTTATTGAAAACATTTCAAGCTGTTTTACATGTAGAAAAAACAAAATTAGAAGATACTAGAAATATGTATAAAAATGGAGTAACTAAACTTGATTAAACTTAAGAAGAAGTTAAGAGAATGGAAGCTGAGTTAATTGAAAAATAACCTAAATTAGTTGAAATGAATATTGAAGCAAGTAAATTGGCAATTATTATTAAATAATAAGCAGATGCAATGGAACCTAAGAGATTATAAGTATAATAAGAGGAAGCTAGAGTATCAGAATGTGTTAAGGAAGCTGAAATAATCAATTAAGAATGTGAGAAAGAATTATCTGTAGCAAAGCCTAAATTAAAATAAGCAGAAGAAGCTTTAAATACATTATCACCTGCAGATATTAATTCAATCAAAGCTATGTTGAAACCACCAATCACAGTTAAATTAGTAATGGAATCTGTTTGTGTTTTATGTGGAGTTCCACCTATAAGTATGCCTAAACCAGAAAATCCAAAAGAAAGATTTATGGATTATTGGGAAGCAAGTAAGAAATTTTTAGCAGATAAAGATTTCCTATAAAAACTTATTGGTTATGATAAAAATAATATTAAACCTGAAATTATGCAGAAAGTTAGAAATAATTATATTTCCAAAAAAGAAGAATATAATCCGAAAAGAGTTGAAAAGGCTAGTTCTGCTGCTAAAGGATTATGTGAATGGGTTCTAGCTTTAGATGAATATGAAAAGGTACTCACTATTGTTAGACCTAAATAAGAAAAATATCTACAATCACAATAAGAAGTAGCTAGATTATAAGAATCATTGAAAATATTATAATAAGATTTATCTGTATTAACTACAGAGATAAATAAATTAGAATAAGCTTATTAAGAAACTATAAATAATCAATAATAATTGGATAGAGATATTAAAGAGTGTGAAATTAAATTGTAAAGAGCTACCAAATTGATGGAAGGTTTAGGAGGGGAAAGAGAAAGATGGAGTAAATCATCTACTATTTATGAATAGAGATTAAAATAAGTATTAGGAGATATTATATTATCATCAGGAACTATTGCTTATTTAGGAGTCTTTAGTAATAATTTTAGATAGAAAACTATAAAAATGTGGATGGATCATTTATAAGGTCATATGTAATTCTCTGAAAACTTTTCATTATAGAATATTTTAGGATAACCTATTTTGATTAGATAATGGAGAATGAATGGTTTACCTAGTGATTAATTTAGTATTGAAAATGGAATTATAATGAATAGATGTCAAAGATTTCCATTAATAATAGATCCACAAGGATAAGGTAATAGATTTATTAGATAAAATGAAAAAGATATAAAATTAGTTAAATTTACAGATAGTGATTTCTTAAGAACATTAGAAAATACTCTCTAATTTGGATAACCATTACTCATTGAAAATGTATATGAAGATATTGATTCAACTATTGATTCTGTATTACTTAAGTAAATATTCAAAAATGCTGGAGTTATGTCAGTTCGTATTGGAGATAACATTATTCCCTATAATAAATAATTTAATTTATTTATGACTACTAAATTAAGTAATCCTCATTATACACCTGAAATTAGTACTAAAGTAACAATTATCAATTTTACTATTACTTAAAGTGGATTGGAAGATTAATTACTTGAAATATGTGTGAGTAAGGAATAACCAAATTTAGAAGAGGAGAAAAATAAATAGATTTTATAATAACACAAAAATAAATAAGAATTATAAAAAATAGAAGATTAAATTCTTAGAGTTTTAAATAAAGCTGAAAATATACTTAATGATGAAGAAGCTATTTAAATTTTATAGACATCTAAAGAGAAATCAAAAGATATTGAAGAGAAATAAGAGACATCAGAATATACAGAGAGAAAAATTGATGAAGCAAGAGTATAATACAAACCAATTGCAATTCATGGTGCTTTACTCTTCTTTGCAGTCATATCCTTAGCCTAATTAGATTCTATGTATTAATATTCTTTAACTTGGTTATTAAATTTATATTAGGAAGCATTCATCAAAAGTGAACCAAGTTAACGTATTTAATAAAGAATAAATAACATTAATAATATGACATTACATTTAATTTATAATTAAGTTTGTAGAGGATTATTTGAAAAGGATAAATTACTATATAGTTTTATTATTTTGATTAAAATTCTTGAATTAAAGAAATAAATAGATTTTGATGAATTCTCCTTCATTATAAGATAAATAACTATACCAAGTGAAGTACCTGAAAATCCTTACAAAGAATGGTTACCAAATTAAGCATGGGCAAGAGTATAAGTGTTAATTAAAGTGAATAAGAAATTATCATAAATTGTAGATAGTATGCATAATTTCCCTGAAATTTGGATGGAATTACTTAACTCTCCTGAAGGTCATTCAATCAGATTACCTGAACCATTTGTTATTATCACTCCAATCTAGAGAATGTGTATAATAAAGGCTTTAAGACCTGGTAAACTGCCTAAAGTTATTTAAGAATTTGTAGCTTCTGAATTGGGAGATAAATATACTCAACCTCCACCATTTTCACTTCATCAATCTTTTTAGGGTAGTAATCCCAAATCCCCATTATTATTTGTATTACCAGGTACTGATCCAATGAATGCTTTACTTAATTTTGCTAAATAGAAAGATATTTAATTAAGATCTGTTTCATTAGGTTAAGGATAAGGTGTAATTGCAGAAAAGGAAATCGAAGATGCAAAATAATCAGGAACATGGGTGATATTATAAAATTGTCATTTATATCCATCATGGATGCCAAAATTAGAAAAGATTATAGAGGATATATAAACATAGAAAATGCATAATCATTTTAGACTTTGGTTAACTAGTTATCCTAGTGAAGATTTACCTGCATCTATTGTTTAAAGTAGTGTGAAAATGACAAATGAACCTCCAACTGGTATAAAATCGAATCTATAAGTCAGTTATTCTAGTGCTCTTTATTAATAATTAGATTATTCAAATAAGAAATTATCTAAATTATTTTATGCATTATCATTTTTCCATGCTATATTATAAGAACGTAGAAATTATGGACCTATTGGATTTAATATTTATTATGATTTTAATCAATCTGATCTATTTATATCAATAAGGTAATTATAATAAATGGCTGCTGATGTTTCCATTCCTTTTTATGCATTACATTATTTAATTGGAGAATGTAACTATGGAGGTAGAGTAACTGATGAAAGAGATAGAAGAGTTGTGAGAGCACTCTTAGATGAATATTTAAATGAAAAAGTCACATAAGATACTTTCTAAATTCAAGATTTTCCAATCATTGAAGGTTTATCTTATGAAGAATATCTAAATCAATTGAATAATCTACCATTAGTTTAACCTACTCATCTTTTTGGATTCCATCCAAATGCTGAAATAATGAAAGATTAATAATATACAGATGAGATTTTAAGAAAATTATAATAAACTTTAGGATCCTCATATACTGATGGTTAATAAAATGATGAATCTAAAAAAGCAGATAATGTTCTTAAATAATTATGTGAAGAGTACCTTGCCAATTTCCCTAGAAAATTTGATATGGAAATTGCTAATGCTAAATATCCTCATGATTATAAGAATTCTTTTAATACTGTTTTCTAATAAGAAATAACAAGATTCAATAAATTAATCTCAATTATTTAGTAATCATTTATTGATACATTAAATGCAATCAAAGGTTTAACAGCAATGTCTGATTAATTGGAGAAAATTACTCAATCATTTCTTATTGGAGCAGTACCAGAATAATGGAAAAAATATAGTTATCCTTCATTAAAACCACTTGCTTCTTATTTATAGGATTTCTTTAGAAGAATTAGATATTTTCAAAATTGGCTAGATAAATAAATTCCATATGTCCATTGGATCTCAGGTTTCTTTTTTACTCAATCTTTCCTTACTGCTGTTCTATAAAATCATGCCAGAAAATACTCTATTGCAATAGATAAATTAGATTTTGATTTCTAATTTCTTGAAGAACCATAACCTAATTTTGAAATCAATCAATTACCTAGACAAGTTAATGGTAATCTTATATTTCTTATATTCTAGATGGCACTCTTATTTTTGGTCTGTTTTTAGAAGGATGCAAATGGGATTATGGTAGAGAAATGATTGTAGAATCTAATCCAAAAGTACTAACAACTCTAGCACCTATCATATGGCTCAAACCAATATAAGGGGAATTAGAAACAAAAAACTAATATGTTTGCCCAGTTTATAAGACAGCAGAAAGAAGAGGAGTATTGTCAACTACTGGGCATTCTACTAATTTTATTATGAATGTCAATATGCCAACTGAATAATCATAACATCATTGGGTCAAGAGAGGTGTAGCTATGCTTTGTTAACTATCAGATTGATTGAATAAACTCATTTAATTAGATATATATAAATAAAATTACATATTATTTAATTTATCTAATAAATCTTTTTATTTAATCAATTTCAATTATCACAAATATACAGAGATTACTCTCTAAAATTAAATTTAGATATATCTTACATCATAAATTAAATTGTCAGCATAATTAATGTCCTATTTAATTATTATAAATACAATCTAAAAATTTAAATTATCATGTCAGCTAATTCTTTTAAGCAAACCTAAGCTTAAATTAATACTCAACCACTACCAAAACCATTTTCTTACATACCAGATAGTCCAACTAATAAACCTGAGAAAAAAGGGGAATAAGAATTTATAAAATTAAGCTTAAACAAATAAAGTAGTACTCAATCAGATGCAGAAAATATTGCTAATTCTTATTTAACTACTAATGAAAAAAATAATCTCTCATTTGCTCTACAAAAAAAATTTCCAATGGTTTCAAATTTTACTATTAATCATAATATAGAAAAGTATGAATATGATAAACCAATCAAAATTTAATAACCATCTAAGATTTATTGTAAATTTTGCAATACTAGGAAACCAACTTAGATTTTACTAAAAAATGGATCAAATACGTACATCCTTGCATGTATTTTATTCTTTTTATTTCTCCCTTTATTTTGGGTTCCTCTGATATCCAATAAATGTAAAGATTAAGTAGAAATCTGTGTTGTTTGTAATCGTTATGCAAACTTTATTCCATTTAGATTATTGTGAATATAGATTATTGTATTATTGATTATTCTAAAACATAAATTACTAATGAAAAAATATATAATATATATTAATTCAAATTATTCACACTTATATTTATATGAATTCATTCTTTTAAAACATAGAAAAATATCACAATTTAACTTTAAGATTATTGTTTTAAGATTGTCAATTATAAATGAAATTTAAATTATAATACAATATCAATTATACAATTTTAAAGTTTAGCAGAATCATTATACTTTTTTATATCTTTTGAGATAAACAAAACTATAATTTTTATAGCTTTAAATACTGTATTTATATAATTTATATTATAATTAAAAATCTTTCTTAAATAATTTTACAATCAAAGATTATTAATTATTAAATCAATTAAAAAAATAAAATTTAATAACAAAATTTCTTATAAATACTTAAAATTATTCTAATAATTTTATTATTATATATTATTTCATTTTAAATTGATGATATTAAATTTATACAAATGAGATAAATAATATTTTCAGTTATTTTCTTTTTAATCTATTACATTTATATAAGTAGTTCCATATAAATTTATTGTAGTAATCTAAGGATCTACAAGCCTTGATTTTTTATGAATACTCAAATTTGATAAATCTTTAGATAATTCTCTTGAATCATCTTTTGAAATTGAATCTAAATTAATTTTATTTATACTTAGATTTCTATAGATTGATTGATGTTTTAAAGGTGATCTAACAGGTGAAGTTCCAAAAATACTGCTTGTAGGAGATCTTTCTCTTGGTGATAATCTCTATTTAATATGAGATATATTTGCAAATCTATGTCTATCTTCAGCTGTCTATTATGTTATGGATTACTTCTTTTTAATTTAAGAATTATTAGTAGAAGATGAAAATGAAATAGGATAAGATTGATCTGAGTCTCCACTTGTTGTATATTATGATTAATTTTTAGATAATTTATTTGATTCTATAATAGCTTTTTATTAGGCTATGAGTAAATCTTTTTAAACTAATTCTTATTATGATTTCTCTTGATCTGATTTTAGATCTAAAATTTATTTAGAAAGATCTGCAAATCTTTATTTCCAATAATTTATAGTCGATTATTATTCTTCTGTAATTTAAATAAGTAAAGATTTAAGTATTTATTTTTATTATAGATTTGTTTTTAGAGCAATCTACAATTATTTTTCAATTATTTGATTTTCTTTTTATGCTGCTAATAATTTCATATATGCTTCATCCTCTTAATTGATTTCTTAAGTTTCTTCAATTTTTAATGAATTTGTTTAAATTTATGATTAAATTTCCATAATTGAATTATTTATTTCAAAGTATTCTTCTACATTTGAGTAGATATCATTGTAAATTTTAGTTAAATAGATAGATTTAGAAGTAGAATCCTCTAATTGTTATGATTCATTTGTAGGAGATAGATCTTCTGATTTTGCATTTTGTTGAATAGATGTGATTTCTTTCTGAACTTATCTCTTAATTTATGTAGCTCTTTAAGAATAAGTCAAAGTATTCAAAATTTCATCATATGATTACTTATTCTATTATACACAAGCTATCATAATAGTTTTAGTGTTTCCACCTAAAGAATCTTATAAGAGTCTAGTAAGTTTGGAATTTCTGTATGGAATATGCTAATTTTTCTTTGTTTTATCTGATAACATTGTTAGACAATGACTCAAAGCCAATAAGGATTTGTTTATATTAGAGCCTTCTTATTAATTTTTTGACTTCTATTCCAAATAGACTTTCTCAGAACCTGCCAAATCTACAATATACAATTTTGGAGTTAGTATTTAACTAAAGATTATTATAACATTATTACTTGTCAATCTTATAGGATAAGTTTACCTAAATTACAGCATGTGATCTTGAAGATGAAACATTATAAATAGTTTAAGCTAGACTTCTATTTTGATTACCAAGATTCAAAATTTCTTTCACTTCTTCACAATTCTTACAAACCATCTACTATACTCCAGATATACATTATCCTTTTTAACTATCCTACATAATTACTAATGATTTTTAATTAGTATTTAATAGATCTCTTATAGTTTCATTATATATCTCAATAAAACTCACTTCTACTAATGCATTTGGATAAGAACTAATTAAAATTTCTTAAATACCTTGTTTTTTCAACTAAATAATTTAAACATTAGAATGCAAGTCCTTCATCCTTTTCATTACCAAAAATAGTATGTGTTTTCCCAGATCCTGTTATACCATAGGCCAAAATAGTTGTGTTATAGCCTTCAAGAAAATAATTTATATTATGCTATCACTTTAGATAAACTAAAAATACTTAGAGAATCTCAGAAAAGATTTAAGCATTGTTTTCGTTATTAAATATACGATCGAAATGAAACTCTTTATTATTTCTACCTTATTTGGTAATCACAATTCTTTTTTCATCCAAGTCTTATATAAGAGTGTCTTGACTAGCAATTGTACAATTATTACCTATTATCAAACAAGGGCTTCACTCTAAGATATACTTAAAAGGGTGTATTATTAGACATTTAATTAGCAGTTAAATATTAAATTTATTTTAATACATAATATAACTACTATTTAATGTAGTTATATTCATGCAGAACACTGTTGCTTATAAAACAACTCAATAACTGAGTAAGATCAATTTTTAAGAATTACCAACAATATTAAATGTTCTAAAAGTTTATTACTTATTCATTATAATATTAATTATAAAAAATTTAAATTAATCAACAATTATCAAAAATAATATCTTAAAAAATGAATTAATAAATTAAAAAACTTATATATTTCAACTTAATTCTTTTATTCAAAAAGGATTTTGCATATGCATAAAAACAATAACATATTGTGTCAAGTCAATATATCTCATTCATAATTTCGTAAGTAGATTTTATTTAATAAATAATTAATTCTATGTATCAAAAGTAAATTTTCTAAGTTTAGTTTATCCATCTCATTTCTAAAAAGAAAATAATAACTTTATGTTGATTATCAAATACAATATATATATAAATTTGTGATTACTATTAAACACTATTTAAAATCTAATACATATAATAATGTTATTGCAACCATATGTAAATTAATTAATAAATATTATATTATAATAGACATGGATCAATAATTGAATTAATAGGGTTATCAAATAATAAGTAATTAAATTAAATGAAATAAATATATTGTAACTAATATTTATTAATAATATATCCAAAACTTAAGAATTCAAAAAAGAAACAACTATTAGATTTCTAGAAAGGATTTATATAAAAAAATTGAATAAATTTTCTTCCAAATCTCTATTTATTTTTGATTTATTATCTTTAATTTCATCATAATTATTATTCCTTTATGTTTATGGAGTAATTGACTCCGGTTTATTATTGTTAAAAGGCTATTTACAACTTTTGAGTGCTTAATTAGGATTAATATTTTTTCCATTGTATTCTTATTGAATATGATCTTTTCAAACCTTCAAGATTGAATTCAAATATATTTTATTATCAATTTTTATTGTCCCTAAGAATCAAAGGAGAAGTAATATTGTCATCAACATTTTTAGATAATAATTATTTATCTTTAATTAGAAACTTTTCATTAAAGTTTGAATATTTCACAAAAACCTTTCCATTAACAGGAATATGGATTAATACAAATTTAATTTATTTAATAGTCGCTTATTGAAATTTGAATTGTTAAAAAAGATTAAATAACTATTTTGAATAGATCTGAAGATTAAAGTATATATAAACTAATAAAAAATAATGTAAGTAAAAACATAAAAAATTTTAAAAGATTATTTTAAATTACCTATTAATAATATATCTTATTTACTTTTTAATTTTGTAATTTGTCAATTTTTTTATGTTTCTACTTACATTTTGTTTTATTAGTTTGTATATACTTTAATCTTCAGATCTATTCAAAATAGTTATTTAACAATCTGGTTCTGATTTACTCTGATAATATAATATATACTTTGATGATTAAAAAAATTTTAGTTTCAGGGAGCTTTGATTGTTAGTTTTTTTTTGGATGTTATTAAAGTGAAGAGGGTATTTATTTACTTCTTATATATTAGGAACTATATTTTTTGTCTTTTATTATACTGGTTTTGGTTTAAGAATTACTTTGTATGATGTATCAAAAACGATGTACCTGTAGAAACTCCTGAAATTAAAAATTATTATTTGATATAATGAATAATTAAAAACTGATCAACAATACATATATAATAAAAAAGAGAATTTCATCTGGTTCTTTTGGAGTTGTATTTTTAGGACAAGATATCAACACTCGAAATTTTGTGGCAATAAAAGTTGATAAGGAAAAAAAAGAGGAATCTAGTCTTAAAAGAGAAGTAAAAATATAAAATTATAATTATACTAGGCAGAAATTTTGAGAAGGCTTTAGCATTTGAAACATATACCAAAATTATATTGGTCAGGAAAGGAAGGAGATTCAACCTATTTAGTGATTCAATATTTAGGAAGAGATTTGACTCATTATATAAGGACTTATAAAAAATTTTCTTTAAAGTGTGTTCTTAATATTGCAGAACAGATGATAATTATCTTAGAAAGTTTACATAAACAGTATTGGTATGTGTTTTAATTTAAAGCAATGTTATCCATAGAGATATAAAGCCAGAAAATATTTTGGTTGGTAAGGAGGATGAAGAAAATCAACTTTTTATTGTAGATTTTGGGATTAGTAAATTCTATAAAGAATAAAATGAATTGCATATGTATTATATCTTTGGATAAAACTTAGATCTTATAAAGAAAAGCAACCTTTCATAGGAACTACTCGATATGCAAGTAGCAATGCTCATAAAGGATTATCATTGAGTCGAAGAGACGATATGGAATCATTATGTTATATGCTAATTTATCTAATAAAAGGTATTGATAAAAAATAATTAAAGGTTAATTGCCATGGCAAAATATTTAATTTACATCAGAAGATGATAAAATAAACTAAGTAGGACAATTAAAAATGAATATAGATTCAAATGAATTATGTTAAGGATTACCAATAGAATTTACTAGATATTTAGATTATGTTAAAGGTTTACAATTTAAATCAGAACCGAACTATAAATATTGTTTATCGTTGTTCAGAAAAATTTCAAATGCACATAAATATTTATCTAGAGATCTTATTTTTGATTGGATAATCTCTTAAAAAACAGATAGAGATGGATCATAAGCAAGTAGTAATCATTTTAATAGCAAACCATCTTTGTAATTATATAAAATGAAACTCTTAGATTTAAAAAATCGAAAGAAGATCTTTTAGGATCATAATTAAATTAATCAATTGAATAGGAAATGAATCCACTAATTAAAATGCCTGATAAAAAGAGAACTACTCTTACACCAGAGATTAATCGCAAAAAAAATAGATTATTATCTATAAGCAGTAATAATGATACTGTTTCAGATAATGATTTCAATAATAGTATAATGATTGGAATACAACCGAGTATGTTAAGTAGATTAAGCAAGATTTCTTTTAATTCAAACTCAAAGTTTTAGAATAGTAAATCTAACCATTCTATAAATGCAAATAAAAATCAGTTTGATCATCTAATCTCAATTTCTCCTGATTCAGATTTTGAAAATATTCTCAATGAATATAAACGAAAATCTCAACCAAATCAATCATAAAATTAAATACTGAAAGAAGATGATACAACTATTGAATTTTAGAAGATGAATGAAGGAGAAGAAGGAATAGAGAGAAAATATATTGAACTTAAACTACGTTTTATAAGAGCGTATGTAAATTTTGTATACTATGTAGTCGTTTTAAACCTAGACTAAACAATAAGTTAAAGTGAATCTTATAAAGTATCAAATTCTCTACTTTATAATATTCATTTATTAATATCAAATAAAAATTAATAAACTACTAAATTCTAAAAAAATAATATTTCTTGAAAAATTAATATATGAAAATTTAATTCTTTCTTTTCGTAAAATAATTTTATTAATTTCATAAATTTATTAAAAAGAAATGGAAGTATAACCATTTTAGATTTATTGTTAAAATATATTATTAGAAATAAAGCCTTTAATATATACTATATATTTATCTAATATTGAATAGTATTAATAATAATAATACTAACTTCCTACATTTTATTTATAGGAATATGAGGATAATTATTAGTCAATCTTTCATTTACAATCATATTTTTTTAATTTTTATTAACACTTAAGCAAATAGTTTAGAGATAATCACCAAAATAAACAACAACTAAATATGATTTAATGAGCAATAAATATTATTTGATAATCTTTATAATCATTCAATAAATAATTATTTTAATCCTAACTAATAGAATATATACCATTTACATTTTTTACTTTTAGTTTTCTTGAGGCCACTGATAACAAAAAGAATTGTAAATAGTGCAAGCTAGCCTGTTTAGCTCAGTGGTTAGAGCTTTTGCCTTGTAAGCAAAGGGTCGAGAGTTCAATTCTCTCAACAGGCTGTTATTTTTATTTTTTTATTTTTATAAATGAATAATATTTTATCATTCTAGGTATTTAATGAATTCCTTAACATCAATAGATCCATCCTCATCTCTGTCTAATGCTTTGAAGATTAGTTCAACATCATCTTTATCAAGATTTCTAATTCTCATCTTTGAGAATACTTCTGCTAATTCTGCTTTATTAATTTTTCCATTTGAATCCTTATCAAAAGTTGCAAAAAGTTGTTAAGGAGTATATTTATTTTTAACAGCTCTTGATATTCTATTGAAAACCTAATATAATATATTATTTAATACTTCTTTAGCTTTACCTATGGCTCTCTCCTATTCTATTTAACTTAAAGAACCAAAGCCTGATCTACTAGTTTAGCCAAATATATCAGACTGTTATGCACCTCTTAGTTTTCCAAGATCTAAGAATTAATTGTAATTTATCATTCCATTTTCTGGTTAAACCACATATAACTAAAAGTTAAAATTTAATAAATTTACTGTTAAATCATCAATTTCATTTGGAGTGAATCCAACTTTCTATTCTCTAAGAGTTTATTTGAACTATGTTTCAGTTACATAACCAGGCTTTTGAGCTTTAGATTGAAATGCTTATTGAAGAACTCTAGCATTTTTAAAACATATTTCTTCTGCTTTTCGAGCAACCTTTTCTTTATCAATTGCTTATTAATTAAATTAATGCTCATTTTTATCTTAATCAAGTGCAGGTTTTACAATTTATAAAAATTCTGATATACTAATATTGCCATCTCTATTTTTATCAAATTCCATAAATAACTCATTTAATTCAAAATCATCTACAGGTACCAACTAATATATAGATTAAATTAGATTACAATTTTATTTTTAAATATGCCTTTTAATTCAACTTTTGATAAATAACCATTTCCATCTTAATCAATATCATTAAATAATTCTGGAACAGTCTTTCTATTCTTTCTCATATAAGTAATAAGATAACTAATAACATAATTTTAAATATTTTATTGAGTTGGTTATACTTTAATAATCTATAATTTATTATTATACATATTTAATGTATCTGCAAATTCAGAAATGGAAATTCTTCCATCATGATTGATATCAAAAAATGCTATAATTTATCTTATATCATCATCACCATTTTGTAAATTTTTATGAACTCCAAATTATATAAGAAACTTTTTCATTTCATTTGCTTCAATAAAACTATTTCTGTTTTCATCCATAAATTCTCTTACCTACATTAAAGTCCATTATCTTGCTTAACCATAATTAAGAATTGCTGTAATTGCTATATCAATTGGAGATTGAGATATTTAAGTATCTTATATACTTGGAAAATTAGACTATACTCTTTAATTATTGATTTATTGAAAAGAAGCTTATGAATATACTTATTATTATTATGAAGTGGGAATCAATTTAAAGAAATTTGTAAATTCCCTAAAATTAATTAATTGATCATTATTAATATCCATATAAAATTTTAAAAAATCTCTTAATTAAGCAATTGGTATGAGTAAACTATTTTATTAGAAATATTTTTGTAATTCATCAATAGTTAATTGTCCATCAGGTTTAACAGAGTCAATTTCCATAAATAATTCTTAAACTGATTTACCATAAGATAGTTTTCTTTTCAATAAATCATAAATAGAATTATGAATCTATTCTAATTAAGTTCTTTACAATTACATAGTGTTTTATTACATTAATTAATTTATTGATGATAATTCTTATGTTTGATATTATGATTTAAAACCTGCTTCATACATAATACTCTCATTAGATTACAAACGGAAAAACTCTTAAAATTTTTATTAATTTAATGGTTATGGTAATTTTGAATAATAAACTTACATTTCTTAAGGATTCATTTTAATATTTAATACATTCTTTAAACCATTAGCAAAATCTTCAAAAGTGATAATTTAATCTTAATCCTTATCAAATACTCTAAAAGCAGTAATGCCCAATAATCCTCTAGATCTCATTTCTGAACTTATTTTATGAGTTATATTTTCTTCCCAAGATTCTGCAATCATAGATCTCTATTAATTTAATGTATCTTCATCCTTTATGTCATACCAAAAGATTTTAACATAAACTGATGCTACTTTATCTCCATCATCATTTTTGACTTCTGCTGCTAAATCAATCATTTGATTTTTAACTAAAGGAGATAAATCTATTAAACAGAATCCCACTTTATCATTTGATCCTTCTACTAAAGGTTGATTATCATCAATGATATATAATTCTAAAGGCATTCTATTAAATTAATTGACTACCATTTCATTATATACAATATCATGAACCATTCTATAATCCCATTTTGGATTAGATCCCATTTAAGTATTGGTATGAAAATCTTTAGTATCAAAATTATAATAAATAAAACAATTAGATTTAGAAGGAAGAGATGTACCTTTTTCAATACATATTACAAGTTTTCTTTTTCTTACTGCAACTATTTCTTCAGCATCATCAAATTCTTACATCTATAATTAGTTTCTTTCTTTTAATAAACGTATAAAATTTGAAATTGGAAATCTCATTCTTGCTTTATATTCCACTATTCCTATCATTTAATTATTGATTCCATGAAAAGTAAGAGATCCACTAATAACTTTACTTATTGTATCATTTTTATTCTCATAAACTAAATCTTTCAATTAAATTAATCCTGATCCAATCTTTGTAGGTTCACTACCTTAACTAACATAAAGTTCTAATTTTAAATAATTGCTTTCAAGATATTAAATAAAGTTAGCATCAGCATCTACTTTAAAACTTATTTATAAATTATAAAAACATGATGTTCCTTCTGATACACTTGTATGTTGTGTTTCATGATCATAGAAATCAATTGTAACAAATGTCAATAGACTTCCAAGATCCAAATTTAATTAAGTAGAAGTCTTATATGAAGATACTAATTCAGCAGGTTAATATTCTCCTTTACCAATCCATAAATCAAAGAAATTCTCTCCTGGAGATAACATTTCATCTTTGTCAACTGAGAATACAGATATAGAATCATCATATTTGATTCCTTCAGCTTCATACAATGTTTATTATTATCTTGCTTAAGTTTTAAGATCAGCTATTTTTGCATATTCATATGCTTTCTCATTTGCAACCTTTAATTCCAATTTTAATTATTCTATTTATGTCTAATGCATTTTATCTTTTTCCATTTATATATCTTATTAATTCTTAAGTAAAGTTTATGTTTTTTCTAAATGTGCAGCCAATTCTCCTTTTTCAAGTTTTAAATGTTCAATCTCTTTTCTCAAATAAACAGGATCATCAGAATCCATATAAGTACGATCTATAAATTCTATTTTTCTCCATGCAGGATCTTCTCCAGTCCATTTTAGATTACCTAACACTTTTAAAAATTAATCATTATCCCAATAATTTAAATCTTTAAATGGAAGTAATTACTAATCTTTTTCTGCCATCTTTATATTTAATTCTTAATTTCTCTCTTATAATAATTTTAATTCTTTTTTAAGATTTTCAATATCTTCTCTTTTCAATCTATTTTCTGTTTCTAACTTAGCATTAGTTTCTCTTAAATTCTTTAAATCTGTAGTATTCCTTATTTATTCTTATTCCATAGCTTTCATTTTAGCTTATATAGTAGCTCTTTCATTATATTCCTTAAAAAATGGTGATTCCATTAAAATTGCTAATCTTTCTTCAATCTCCTTCTTTTATCTTCTTGCTTCTTATAAATCTGCTTATAAATCAACAACACTTTTTTATGCTAATTCCANAAACAATTAGATTTAGAAGGAAGAGATGTACCTTTTTCAATACATATTACAAGTTTTCTTTTTCTTACTGCAACTATTTCTTCAGCATCATCAAATTCTTACATCTATAATTAGTTTCTTTCTTTTAATAAACGTATAAAATTTGAAATTGGAAATCTCATTCTTGCTTTAAATTCAACTATTCCTATCATTTAATTATTGATTCCATGAAAAGTAAGAGATCCACTAATAACTTTACTAATTGTATCATTTTTATTCTCATAAACTAAATCTTTCAATTAAATTAATCCTGATCCAATTTTTGTAGGTTCACTACCTTAACTAACATAAAGTTCTAATTTTAAATAATTGCTTTCAAGATATTAAATAAAGTTAGCATCAGCATCAACTTTAAAACTTATTTATAAATTATAAAAACATGATGTTCCTTCTGATACACTTGTATGTTATGTTTCATGATCATAGAAATCAATTGTAACAAATGTCAATAGACTTCCAAGATCCAAATTTAATTGAGTAGAAGTCTTATATGAAGATACTAATTCAGCAGGTTAATATTCTCCTTTGCCAATCCATAAATCAAAGAAATTCTCTCCTGGAGATAACATTTCATCTTTGTCAACTGAGAATACAGATATAGAATCATCATATTTGATTCCTTCAGCTTCATACAATGTTTATTATTATCTTGCTTAAGTTTTAAGATCAGCTATTTTTGCATATTCATATGCTTTCTCATTTGCAACCTTTAATTCCAATTTTAATTATTCTATTTATGTCTAATGCATTTTATCTTTTTCCATTTATATATCTTATTAATTCTTAAGTAAAGTTTATGTTTTTTCTAAATGTGCAGCCAATTCTCCTTTTTCAAGTTTTAAATGTTCAATCTCTTTTCTCAAATAAACAGGATCATCAGAATCCATATAAGTACGATCTATAAATTCTATTTTTCTCCATGCAGGATCTTCTCCAGTCCATTTTAAATTACCTAACACTTTTAAAAATTAATCATTATCCCAATAATTTAAATCTTTAAATGGAAGTAATTATTAATCTTTTTCTGCCATCTTTATATTTAATTCTTAATTTCTCTCTTATAATAATTTTAATTCTTTTTTAAGATTTTCAATATCTTCTCTTTTCAATCTATTTTCTGTTTCTAACTTAGCATTAGTTTCTCTTAAATTCTTTAAATCTGTAGCATTCCTTATTTATTCTTATTCCATAGCTTTCATTTTAGCTTATATAGTAGCTCTTTCATTATATTCTTTAAAAAATGGTGATTCCATTAAAATTGCTAATCTTTCTTCAATCTCCTTCTTTTATCTTCTTGCTTCTTATAAATCTGCTTATAAATCAACAACACTTTTTTATGCTAATTCCATAGATCTAACTTATCCTTCTAATAAATGATTCTTTTCTTTTTCTTCTCTTAAGAGCATCATAATTTCACTCTATCTTTTACGTTCATCATCTAATTATGTTCTCATACCATTTAAATTAGATTCTAATTTATTACATCTTTCTTAAAGTGTTACAAATTAAGCATTTTTTTAACTTAATTCCTATTGATTAACAATTTTAGAATTCATCATTGCTTAAAGTTATCTAAATTATGCTTCTTATTCAAGTAATCTTTTCTTTAATTTATCATTTAAATCTAACAATTATTTTATTTGATTTTATTAATCTACAAATTAACCTCCTCTTATTCCAGTTTATTCAATATCTGGTCTATCTGCTTATACTAATTTCTTTTTTTTCATAGGTTAATGTGCAACAACAACTCTTTATGCTTAAGAAATAGCTTATATTTTTTATTTTAATTTTTCATTTTCAGTTTCCAAATTATTTACTTTTGATACTAATTAATTGTTAGATTCACTAGTTTCTCCTGCACCAACAGTTTTATTTCCCATAAATTTTTACATTTATTATAATTTAACTTCCATNAATACAGATATAGAATCATCATATTTGATTCCTTCAGCTTCATACAATGTTTATTATTATCTTGCTTAAGTTTTAAGATCAGCTATTTTTGCATATTCATATGCTTTCTCATTTGCAACCTTTAATTCCAATTTTAATTATTCTATTTATGTCTAATGCATTTTATCTTTTTCCATTTATATATCTTATTAATTCTTAAGTAAAGTTTATGTTTTCTCTAAATGTGCAGCCAATTCTCCTTTTTCAAGTTTTAAATGTTCAATCTCTTTTCTTAAATAAACAGGATCATCAGAATCCATATAAGTACGATCTATAAATTCTATTTTTCTCCATGCAGGATCTTCTCCAGTCCATTTTAAATTACCTAACACTTTTAAAAATTAATCATTATCCCAATAATTTAAATCTTTAAATGGAAGTAATTATTAATCTTTTTCTGCCATCTTTATATTTAATTCTTAATTTCTCTCTTATAATAATTTTAATTCTTTTTTAAGATTTTCAATATCTTCTCTTTTCAATCTATTTTCTGTTTCTAACTTAGCATTAGTTTCTCTTAAATTCTTTAAATCTGTAGTATTCCTTATTTATTCTTATTCCATAGCTTTCATTTTAGCTTATATAGTAGCTCTTTCATTATATTCCTTAAAAAATGGTGATTCCATTAAAATTGCTAATCTTTCTTCAATCTCCTTCTTTTATCTTCTTGCTTCTTATAAATCTGCTTATAAATCAACAACACTTTTTTATGCTAATTCCATAGATCTAACTTATCCTTCTAATAAATGATTCTTTTCTTTTTCTTCTCTTAAGAGCATCATAATTTCACTCTATCTTTTACGTTCATCATCTAATTATGTTCTCATACCATTTAAATTAGATTCTAATTTATTACATCTTTCTTAAAGTGTTACAAATTAAGCATTTTTTTAACTTAATTCCTATTGATTAACAATTTTAGAATTCATCATTGCTTAAAGTTATCTAAATTATGCTTCTTATTCAAGTAATCTTTTCTTTAATTTATCATTTAAATCTAACAATTGTTTTATTTGATTTTATTAATCTACAAATTAACCTCCTCTTATTCCAGTTTATTCAATATCTGGTCTATCTGCTTATACTAATTTCTTTTTTTTCATAGGTTAATGTGCAACAACAACTCTTTATGCTTAAGAAATAGCTTATATTTTTTATTTTAATTTTTCATTTTCAGTTTCCAAATTATTTACTTTTGATACTAATTAATTGTTAGATTCACTAGTTTCTCCTGCACCAACAGTTTTATTTCCCATAAATTTTTACATTTATTATAATTTAACTTCCATAGTCACATACATTTTTTCAAATTTTACTTAATTTTCTTTTAATTTTATATTCTCATCATAAACATCTAAGAATAATTTCTCTTTCTCTCCATCATTCAATTTATTAAATTAATAAGGTTTCTTCTTAGGCATAGAGGCAATTCTTTTATTAGAAGATTCAGGTCTTTTTTACTATTATGATTATGGTTATGGTTTAGATTTTGATTCCTGGGCAGCTAAACAAAAGTTAACCCATTACTTTTTATAACATTAAGAATAGCATCATCACCATCGCCATCAAAATCATCATTATAAATATTACTCTCAGTTTGTTAATCTGGTATATTAGCTTATTGTTTCTATTGCTAACGATTCTCACTCTGCCGCTCTTTTTAATAGAAACATAATATTATACTTAAATTTCCAAGGGCATTAGTCATCGCTTGCTAATCCATTATTTATAAATATATATATAAATCATAAATATTACAGGAACAAAATCATATATTATATTAACCAGTCTAGAAATCTTATTTAACTTTTTCTATTAATCTTTAGATTTTATTAAAAATTGAAAATTAATGTATCCAATAAGTAACTATTTTATATGAATAAATAATAAAGCAATTACTCAATTAATAAGAATTGCATAAGAATAATTACACAATTAAGATTTCATAATCAACTCCTTTTAATATTAATTATATCAATTTAATTAGATTATAGATAATAAGTTTCAAAAATTAATTCTAGTCTATTATTTCTAAAATACAGAATTGATATAAATTTTCTATAAATTAAAAATGATATTTAAATTATGAAGATTTTTTTTAATATTATTTTTAAGAAATCTTATATCTAATTTTATTAAGTTATAATTAATAGATACAAATTCATAATTTATTTTTCATTTTTGTAATAACAAATGGAAGTCCATAAATTTAATATGTGTGAGTTAAAGTAGAATTCAATATTATCATCGCAAATAGAAACAAGAGCCATGATTGTGGCATTTGGTATTCTTATACTTTGAATGTAAGCTTGTTAAAATTAATATATTTGTAATACATTTAGATAGTCATCTTCTGTGTCATCTTTGTATGTAAATATAAGCAAATATAGTTCAAGTATGAATAACAGAATCAAATAAATAGTGAAAGGTCTATTTGAATAAAATGGTTTTTTGAATCTAGGATCATAGGATAATGATACTGATAACATAATATATTAAAAATTAGTAACTAAAAATAAGGATGTTGCTTCAAATGATTACATAAAACCTGCTTCACCATATTCTTCATGAGATAATGTAACAGGATCCTTATACCAATCTTAATAAATTAATATAAGATAAATGAGCATTTAAAATGTCATTTAAATAAAACATTATCCCAATATTATTGATAACACTTCTACACTAACTAAACTTCTTTATGGTATTTCTGTAGTTAATTTCTTAAGATTATCAGTGTAAGTCATTAAAATACTAAGTGGTAATACAACAAATAAATCTAAAATAAGAAATTAGGAATTAGTCATATATGAATATTGGAAATATAAGATTGTACAACTTAAAAATTGTACTAATGAACACATTGTCATATATTCAAAAGCTTAAAATGAAGTAGTCAAAGCTCCTCTTCCTTCAATTAGAATTATTGGTACTGTACTTAAATCCTCTTATCCAGATGTAAATGGAGCAGCTAATGACAATTTTGTATTTGTTAAACTTATTCCAACATCTGCAGTACGCATAGCTTATATATCAGCACCTCCATCACCACAAAAGACAATCTATTTATTAGTTTTTAAGTAATTAATTAATTCAGCTTTATGTTCTCTTCTCATCTTAGCATAAACTTTGGTTTTTTATATTATCTAATCAATATATTTATAATCTTTATTATCTTTTGCTTAATTCATTAAATAAGTAAACAATTTGCCTGTAATTGATAGTGTAGCTGATTTTTATAATTTTTCATTTGTATCATCATTGACTATGACTATATTATTATCCAAATTCTCAGATGATTTAGCATCAAAATTGAATTTACTAATAGAATTAGGTAATTTCTATTATAGAATTTCTACACATAAAGTTCTTGTATCATTATTCATTTAATTTTCAATTTCTTTAAATTATTATTCCATATCTTTCCAATCAATTTACAATTCATTATTATTTTCTACAAGTTCTCCATATACTAATTATTCATTATCTTCAACTAATCTAGTTTGTCTGGCTACTCTCATTGATGTTAATACATTATCTCCAGTAACTAAAATTATATCTATTTTTGCACTTTTCAATTATTATATTACTTATTCTGCATTTTCTTTGACTCTATTTTCTAATACTAAAAAACACAAAAATGATAGTTTTGATTCAGAATATTCTCTTGTAGGAATTACATCTTCTTATAATAATTATTTATATGCACAAGCAATAACTTTAAATCCATGATGACTATAATATTTAAACACTTAAGTATAATCTTATGGAATATTTTCACACATTAATTTAATTTTTTCAGGAGAACCCTTTACTAATGAATATTTATTATGATTTTATTAATTATGAATAATACAACAAATTCTTTATTATTCTTATGAAAATTCAAATGTTTTTACAATATCATAATTTATTCCATCCAATAATACTGTTCTATAAAATATCTTTGCAGAACTATTTTTAAATAATGCTAAATCTAAATGATCTCCATAAAGAATTTCTTCTTCATTAACAATATTGTTACAACATGCCATAATTAATCTTATTATTTTATTTAAATTTTAAAAATCTTTCAAAAGAGGATTCAATTATCCCTAATTATTCATTTCTATTACTCCATAAAGTCTTTATTCTTCTTCTGTTAATGTTCCTGTTTTATCAAAACAAACTTAATTGACAACTCCTGCTAAATTTATCTTATTTGGATTGAAACAATATATTTTTTTCTTTTTAAATCTCTTTAATGCTAAACTTAATCCTATTTATAAAGTTGTTGGTAATGTTGGTGGTACACATACAGCTAATAAATCTAATATATCAGTAATTAGATCAGTAGCTTCTATAAATGGATAAGTAATTAAGAAATATATCTTAAATGGTAAAGCAATTAAATAACCTACTATTGCTACAATACTTAAATATTTTAAATATCTCATACTATCATCATAAAAATCAAATGAATAATCAGGTGTTAACATTACTTCTCTTATTAAATCACCTTTCTTTGTATTAAAACCTGTTGAAACAACAAAAGCCAAACAATTTTCATCTGCTCTCAAACAAAATGTTGACATATATAACATATTTCCATCTTTTTATACAAAAACTGAATCATCATTTGGTAAATTGCTTTTTGTAATTGGAGTTTATTCACCATTCAAAAATGACTCTTAAACAATACATGTTCCCTATATAAGTACACAATCACAAGCAATAACTTAAAAAGGCTAAACTTATATTATATCTCCTGGTACTAACTCTCTTGAATGAGTTGTTATTTATTATCCAAATCTTATGATATTTACTTCATGTTCTAATTTGGAATTTAGTCTTATTTCTCTATAACTCTCTCTATATTCAAATAAAGTATCTATCATTGAAATAATTGATGTTAACAGCAATATAATAGCATAACTAGTATATTCTTCATAAATCCATAACAATATTTGAAGAAGCTAAACAATAAATAAAGGATGCATTAATTCATCAATAAGGATAGAAAATATAGGTTTTCTTGGAATCTCTGTAGAATTAATTCCATAAAGTTCTTAATAATCTTTCAACTATTCATAAGACTTTATATGATCTCTCTAATGAACATCTTTATTATTCTAGAGTTAAAACTAAATTTTTTCAAATCTTCCCTCTCTATATATAAATCTTTTATATCTGTATGTAAATCCCTAAATTTATATGCAATTCATACAATATAATCTAATCCTTTTTATATATAATGATGACTAGGAACAATTACTTGTGTACCATCATTTGAGTCTATTCGAAAATACTCAGCTGCAAATATTTCACATTTTGACATTCTCAATATAGCCCAAATTTTATAATGCCAAGTAGCTACTACATAGACTAAACCTAAAGATAAAATGCACAGAAGATAAAATAATATTGCTTTTGCAATTTTTTATCGATAGGGCACTATCAATTAAATTTCCTACATATTATAAAATTATATTTCAAATTAACTTTTATGATTGAAAATGAATACAAGTATGTAAAACACTAAGTATCAAACATATCTCTTTTTATTAATTGATTAAAATCAAAATAATATTTTCATATCTTTATATATATATATTGTTATTTTAGAAATATCATGTAATTTAATAATATTTTTAATAATTTCAAATTCTTTTTTCAAATAATAGGCAATTATCTGGTTCCAAAATGTATAAGAATTTTATACCAAATCTTATCTATTATTACACTTCAGGATTCAAAAGAATTTTATATTTTCTAACAAGTAATGCTATTATGATTTTTGATTCCATCATTGCCATATGTTATCCAATACAATTTCTTGGTCCTGCTCCAAAAGGAATGTAAATATAACCATTATCGTTTTTAACTTATTTTTGTTTATTTAACCATCTTTTATAATTAAATTCAGTTGCCCCATCAAAATATTTCTCTTATGTATGACTAGCATTTTACATTTATATTAAAGCCCATCCTTTTTTAAGTTTAATTTCTTAAAGTTATGTATCATTTTTTACTACTCTAAAAATTGTAGAATAGGAAGGATTCTTAAATCTTAGAACTTCTTAAATCAATGCATTAATTTTTACTAACTTATTTAAATGTTCTTCTTTAATTTCATTCTATCCAATAACTTCTTACACTTCTTCTAATATTTCACTTTAAATTTCTGGATATTTAGCCAAATAATATAAACAAGTACCAATAGCTGTGGCAGTTGTATCAGTACCAACAAAAAATAGTGTTGTGAATTGATGTATTATCTCTTCAATATCTATTAATTATTCTTTTTATTATGATTATTATTATAGATATTCAGTAACATATAAATCTAAAAATACCATTTTATTTTTATCTTATATTGGGTTTTATCTTAGTTATTCAATTCTCTTTAAAATCATCTCTTTCACCTTCATTTTTACATTATCTACTCTTCTCACTATGTCTTTTTCTTTTTAAGATGGAAATATGTCCCACATCCTTTCTTTAAATATCAATGACTTAATAAATATAAAAGGATTCTCAAATTAGATTTAACTCATTGATCCTGTCAAGTCTATTAAAGCTAGTTAAGCATCTTTTCCTTCCAATTAAAAACCTTCTGCCAAATCACCAAAAAAGCTTTTTATTACGATTTCACCTGTCATCCTTGAAATGAATTCATTTAAATTTTTCTTAGAATCTTTCTAGACAATATCTTCAACAACTAAATTCATCATTGGAATCCTT